CAACTCGACCCAAAGGTCGAGAGGATCCTCGATAGTAAGGTACTGATTCTTAAGGCTCTCTGCTAGGTGATGGCGTATAAACGCAATCGCCTTAAACTTCGACCTCTTCTCACACTCGTTGTTTTCCATAATGCACTCGGCGAGATCTTTGGATTCAAGGGCTATCTTAATGTCCAATGCCCATTGTAAGTAGTTGTCGCCGGAAACGTTGAGTGCAGAAAACTCGAGGTTCTTTGTTTTCGACATCTACAAGCAAAAGAAGATTGAGTCAAAATCATGTAATCGTTAATGTCATGTGGTTTTAAAAACCAAACATGAATCGATTTACTTAAGGATTTGACTTTCCTCATAGAGTTTTAAGATTTCCTATTTTTTATTTAATATTTTTAGGGTTTAGGATTTCCTATTTTATTTAAGATTTTAGGATTTCTTATTATTCCTAGGATTTAGGGTTTTAAAGATTTCCTATTATCCCTAAGATTTAGGGTTTTAAAGATTTCCTATTATCTAGGGTTTCCTATTTTATTTAGGGTTTTAGGATTTTCTATTATCCCTAAGATTTAGGATTTTAAAGATTTCCTATTATCTAGGGTTTCCTATTTTATTTAGGGTTTTAGGATTTTCTATTATCCCTAAGATTTAGGATTTTAAAGATTTCCTATTATCTAGGGTTTCCTATTTTATTTAGGGTTTTAAGGGTTTCCTAGATTTTAGGGTTTTAAAGATTTCTTTTAGGATTATCTTTTCTAAGTTTTCTAGGGTTCATGCAATTTTAGTTTTAGGGTGATAAGCATGTAATCAATCAAAGGAGCAAACAATCTAATCAACCTAAACAATCTCAATCAAGCCGTTTAAACATATAGAATTTTCGGATTAGGTTCGTTTTAGTTTTAGGTTTCTAGATCTTTAAAGTTTCGGTTATTAGCCTTATGTATTTTCGTTTTACGATTTTAGGTTTAGATAATAAAATTTCTCTAGCAACTTAGGCGATTTTATCATAAGCAATAACCAACTTTTCTAGCAACCTAAACGATTCAAGTAATCGGATCTCACAAGCAATAGCAATCGTTTAAACAATCAAAATTCGTTTTTAGTGTCTTAACCGTTTGTTAATTTCAAGTTCATGATCGGTTTTCATAAGTAAGAAGCAATCGTTTATACAATAGAACTTGTCTAGCAACTTAGGCGAGTTTAGTTTAAGCAATAATCAATCCTTTTCTAGCAACCTAAACGATTCAAACAAACGGATCTTTCAAGCAATAAGATTACTTAAACATTCAAGGTTCGTTTTAGGTTTCCACCGATCGTTAGGTTCAAATTCATAATCGGTTCTTTAGCTTTTAGGGTTTTTGGTTTTTACCTTTCACCTTTTTGGGGTTGTATGGATTGGAACCGGGAGCTAAAGACCTCGGTTATCAAGCTTATCACGAACGTATGAAGCTAGGAGGAGATCGCCGATCAAAGAGCAAAGCGAGCGGTCGGCGGTTGGTAGCTTCAAGCGGTGGGCGAACTCGGCGAGTTTAGGTTTAGGGTTTTTAGGGTTTTTGTTAAGAGCAACTCGTGCTGATAACGTGTTGTAAACTTATTGTTTTTCTATGTATTAATGAATGAAGTTCGTTACATATATATACATAATGAGAGGAGACAAATCCTCATTGGGTTAGTAAACCCTAAAGCCCAAAAGCCCACTAAGTATAAAATGGATCCTAAAAGGAGAATCTTCTAGAACATGGGCATGGGCCTTCTAGGACATGGACACGGGCCTTCTAGAATATGCATAAGGCCCACGGTTATGGAGTCCATCCAACATGTGGTTTATAACAGTTGTTGAGAACAATATTTTTAGCTTACTTCTTTGTGAAACGTCACAATTATCTTTTTAATAAATATTTGGAAATTAACTAATAAAAATATTCACCGAGGAGTTAGTGATTTTATCTAGATCTAAACCTAAACAATTTTATCTTTTTCCATAAATTTCAAAATCAAGAATATTTATTTTATATTTAGGATATTTTAAAGTATTTACACACTAACTTACCATCTAATATTCTAATTAATATCTCGATTTTCACTTTTTTGACTACTCCTTCAAGATTTATTTTTCTAGTTTTAGTTCATATAACACAAATATATTTTTAATTTTAAAAATTTATAGAGAGATTGATATAACCATCCATGATTTATTTATTGAAATATTCAAACCTTGACAATAACTGAATACATCCATGATTCTATTTTATTTTATTTTAAAAATAATGTTAGTTTACGTAAGGATCAGTCAAAACCAAAAGTGATTGAACTTTGAGTTTTGGTGTTATAAATTTATAATAATACGGTAACAATTGTGGCACAAGAAAAGTCTCTTAATTTTTTTTTGCAAGAACATAAGACGCTTCAACTTTGTCTTACAAAGTACGCATCGGAGTATAAATATAGAGTACAAAAAAAATCTCCCCTTATGCGGGATCATATATTCACAATGTACGTATCAGAGTATAAAATATAGCTCACTTAACCATATTGTTTACCTTTTATCTACGGAAATTTAGAGAAAATATACTTACTTTTTGTCAAAGATATAGATCCAAATTAAGGTATGCTTTATTATAATTTATGCTTATGGTAATTTAAGTAGACGATAACGCTAAATATACTTGCTGCTTTAAATACAGTACTTTGTATTTATGTGTAGATCCATATTTTAAACTTATATACCTTTTTAGTTTAAAATGAGGAAAGAAAGTTTTCCAAATAAAAACTCAAAAATGCCACTTTTAATCTATCTAATATATTGGAATATCTTATGATAATTTAATTAGGCAATAACATTAAATATACTCAATGATATGCTAAGTGTATCCGTATAAGAGAATTTAGAGTTCCTATTAACGAAATATATATACATCATCTATATACACATTTTTGGAGACATTTTTGAAATAAATCATGGAGTTGACACTTATTTACAATGTAATGCCACTGATATTAATTCTTAAGATTTATTTCTTTAATTAGATATATGTAAATCAAATTTGTTTGCCAAAAATCTGGAGACAATCTTTCCTAATATCTCGATAATGATCATTTATACTCTATTTAAATTAAGATTTTCAATTCAAAATCACTTACCATATATTATAATTTATATATTCAATATCTATAAATTTATATATTCAATATCTATAAATTTTTTTATGATATTATGAGCATTTGGACATATCAACATTTTAAACTAACACATGATGGGTTATATTACGGGACGAAATTATATGGTGGGGCAGAGTTATTTGGCGGGACGGGTTTGAATCAAAGTTAATAAAATTTTAAAATATCATTAACCCGTTCCTTCAATATGGGTTAAATCCTCACTTTATTATTTTGAAAGACCTGTAATATTAGACATATCGAATCAGTCTAATTTAGTTAAGATTGTATAAAACAAAAAATGTTCCATAGTATATTGTTACTTAATGATAATTATAAACTATAAATTATAAATGTCTTACAAATAATACAATTTGCAAATTTTTATATATAATACATAATTTAGAATTTTTAAAAATTATAAATTTTAGAAAAAAAATCACCCCGCGTGTCAATTCCTAGTAATTTAAAGAATGTAAAAATGAAGGAAAAGTAATATTTAATTGATATGGCTCAAAAGGGGAATAAGCTAAGGATTTTCTTACAAATTTAAGCTCCTATTTATTTAGTTACAATGAAAACATGATATATCAACCAGACTTCTATATATAAATTCTTATATTGTAAAAGGATACATAGTACAAATCGTTAACCAATTAGATGGGTGTGTGATATTGCTTAAGTCAAGTACAAAGAATCAAGAAGCAGATCTTTAGGAAATAAATATGAATGGTTTGGTTGAACCTAAATATTTATAACTTATTACATAGATTGAACTGTAACAATTATGTTTTTTTTCTCAAAAATTGGCAATTCTCCAAATAAAGATATTCAATGAATATTTTAGACTTTATCTACAACTTTTACAAATTTAAAAAGAAAAAATTCATATATAAACTAAAACTAAACAATCTTATCATGTTTAAAATAAAATTCATAGTCAAGAATATTTATCTTTTATTAAAGATATTATAAAGTTTTTACATGCCAATCAAAGTGATAGATTTTTTGTGTTTTGATATTATAAATTTATAATAATACAGTAACTATCTAGATATTTTATTCTTTTTGAAAAATAATAAACCTATCATATATTTTTTTTTTTCTAAAAGAAATTTGAAAAAGTTTTAGATATTTCCAAATTTTATGATAGAGACAAATGACAAACTATTATCGTTTTCAAAAATAAATAATCTTAAATATGTATATATGTAACACTAAAACATTTCTTTTCCCGAAACAATAACCCAAAAATAATAATAATTTCCAATTTTTTTTCCTTTTAAATTCTAAATGATATTTTTATAATGTAAATAATTCAGAATAACCTTAAATGCTTCTAATTTTTAATAAATATTAACATTTATATTTGGCACTATCACAATCCTTATAAAAATTAATATAGCTTAAAATGTTTTAATTTTTTACTACTTAAACATGATTTTATGATTTTGCTATTTTTATTTCCTATATTATAGAACTAAGTTGAGAAAAATATTATTTAACCCATCTGAATTTCTATTACACACAATTTATATTTTTAATTTTTATTAACAATAGAAACATACATTTGGTAATTAAATAATTTAAACATTAAAAACTCTGTTCAATAATCCGAGAAATAATATGCCACTGAGTTTCTTATCATCTCCACAAAAGAAAATTATAGAACACAAAAAAAGTGAAACTTATAATAAAGGAAGGTGAAGTCATCATGATTAAAATATATATATTAACAAAAAGTTGGTTTAATTCCTCAATAAACTATTGATTCCATTATCATTAATAATTAATATGATCAATAATAACATTATATATATTATATATAAACATATTTATTTACAAACTAAATATCACAAAAAGTTATACGGACTCCGTTTTATAATGGACAATAAACTATTTATTAAAATATCGCACAACTCTTAAAAAAAAAGTAAAACAATGCACACAACTAAAAGAGTTGCTTTACTCCATACCAAAAAAAGAGATGCCTTACTTGAATACCAACCAAAGTTCATATTCGTACACGTATTAGCGAAGATGTCTTCTCCAAATAAGTCTTTGTATGTGTATAACGGTGTCTAGTTCATACGTAGCTCAAGAGAAGCACAAGAGTCTCTACTAAAACAATCACGATCGTTCGATTGGCCATACTTCCAGATAGCACCGCTATCACCGTTGAGGTGATCTTCACCGTGCATAGGGAAGAGAGGAAGCCTACGTCGATGTTCCAGATAAGCATTGACACCACATTCTTCTTCTTCTTGACGACCTTCCAGACCAAACATAGGCTTTGGTCTATGCAAGAAGTTGCAAGGCGCAAATGAGTAGTGATGATTATAATCCAAGTTTTGCCCATCCTCCACCTACGTTGTTGTAATTTATAGAACAGTCTTGTCATTATATGTAAAACATTAAATTTATATTCATATATGAAGGATATATATTATTTGAATTAAATGGCTTATTGTTTGGTACGTACCATAGACATGTGTATTAATGGGGCCATTAGAAGCATCAACAGCACCACATTCAGTATCTTGATATGACTTCGATCAAGTTAAGTGAGTTTGGATTCTCTCTTAAACCATCTCTCTACCACTATTCAGTTCATCCAAATCCTGCACCAATTCATAAGTACAACATGAAATCTAAACATTACCAACACTGCTCATGTAGTAGAGGACGATGAATATGAAATTCGGCTTAAAAATATAAAAGTTTTGCTTTTCTGATTTCTCGGTTCTATGTTTGAAAACTTGAACCCAATATATTCTGCCATATATGTGTAGAAAACATAAAACGTAGTTCTGCATCCAACATCAAGTGTTTGCATACTTCCTGCATAATGAACCGAAACGGAATCAATATGGCCTAACATTGTATATGGAATTTCTTTTTAAGCATATTGTAAAACACAAACACGATATAACTCTTACCAAGAGTCGAAGCATTTATCTTAATCTGGCTAGAAAGAAAAAGCACAGTTAACTATTGAAACCAATATTTGTTTGGCCACATTCATGAGAGATATATACAATAAATTTTAAATTAAAAACAAAAATAAACTATTGAAACCAAATTTCTATTTTGATCATGCCAATGTATAAGCCTCAAATATCGAGCTAAACGTATTTTATATATCTGCATACCTTCTATGATATTGAATTTCTTTCTATTGGACGGTCAATACACTTTCTTTCTTGAAAATTAAATATATAGACACCATTTAGGTCATGAGGATTCTTTCTTTCACGCTGCAAGTAACAACAAAATTAAAAAAAAAAACAAATGCTTACATTAAGAGTATTCACAGAGAACTCTAGAGCAGCTTTGGTTTCAGTAGGTCCCGACTTCACGCAACAGGCAAATTCAAAAATGTCAAAATGTGAACCATGCCATAAAACCAAAATGGTAGTATGCACTAAATGTTATACCTCATATGAAGGTACTAAATTTGCAATGTTGCGAACAGTGAATGCATCACCCGGTTGGAATCCCAGGACAGTAGAAGGACAAACCCTAGAGTCTGCACAAGCGATCACCAGAAACTGTTGCTTACACTGTTAGCAACAATTCCTTTCTCCAGACAAAATTTAAACCACAGAAGATATCTCAAGCCTTCCGTGAACAATAATAAGCATTTGTAAATTGTAAAGGTACCTTCGGAGCTTGAGCATCTGCCAAATTTTCTTAGTGTTCTAAGTTATCCCTGCTCAAGAGTATATCATAAGGTGGGGAGAAACAAAAAGGCAAAAAGTAATTTATAAACCATTGAAAAAGCAAAAGACTGAAGAAATTGGTTCTGCTACTTACGCTTCTTGAAGTAATTTATAAACCATTGAAAAAGCAAAAGCAAAAGTACTTATGCTTCTTGAAGGCGAGGAACCGCTGTTTCATGTCGTCAAATACATCATTGTCATTTTGTCTATTAATTGCAACCCCATTAGCTTCCTGAGTCAGTCCAGGTGTCTTTCCTGAAGCCATCACTTGCAAGTTTGAAGCTTTTCTTCTGCAAACACCACAACACTTAAATATTATAGAACGTCTCCACTGAGATTGTGCCACTTAAAGCATCACAAAAATACTCTTCTTTTCAAATCTTACAAAAGACACACTACTTATAGACCAATGAGAAAAAGAAAATTTGTATCATAAAACTATTCGATGTGTAATTTTCACATATAAACTACAATTCAAGTAAGGAAAAGACTGCAATATTGATATATGACCTCTAAAACTCACGAAATTTTACTCAAATTCAAAAGCAGTCCATGCAATCAAAAACGAATTGTACCTATACTTCAACACACTCCCGAAAGCTCATCTTCCATCCATGGCAAGCTTTCGAAAACTCAATACTAAGAGAATCAGCACGAACAGTCACAAGAAACTCTCTATTTTACAATTTTATCACGATAGACATACCTTTGCAATCTCGACATCGATCTCGATTTAGAGAGCCACCGGAGACGATAACTTGCACGATAATGACATTAGAGCGAGCAACCTCTGTTTTTTCGTGAGCTTCAAAACAGATTTCTGTGTTTTAGAAAGTAAATATACGTTAGGGTTTCTAGCAATCAAAAAGAAAAGCATTTAAATTCATGATAAATACAAAATATAGTTTAGATTAGAGACTGACTTTTTGTACGATGAAACAAACACGCTTTGATGATCGTATGCCCACATCTCATTGTAACCTGAGAGGTTAAAAAAACATAATAAAAATCCAAAATATATGCTGAAAAAAATTATGAATGCAGGGACAACAAATACGCAATAAAATCGCATATAAAAATATATAATATAACACAAAGAAACACAAACATTAAAATAGGTAAATATATGTAAAATATACAAACCAAATCTATAGAAATACCTTTCCAAACCCCGTTCTGTTCTCGTCAAAACCATCTTCGTCCGAAAGCTTTGTCGATGGAACCTCCCACGTTCTACAAAACTGAAACACATATCAAAAGAATCAAATCAGCAAAACAATAAATCAACGAATTAATGCAAAAAATAAAACCAAAAACAAACAATATGCACACGACGTCTAAAGGTAAATGAAAACAGTATTTGCATGACTAACAATTTGATTCATCAGAATCGTAGCTGTATAAAAAAAATCATAACGGTGAAAACTATCTAATGGGCACAAAAAAAATAATACCTAATTCTCACCGATCATAAATATATATAGCTTTAAGATTAGGGCAAACATCAATCATTATCTTAAGAAATTTAACTTTTTAATTAGAAACTAAATCAGAAAACTAACAAAAACGAATATTAACTACTAAGATATAGAATTTATCCAAAAAATAAACAAATAAATTAAAGCTAAGATTCCATAATCCTTAAAGTCGAGACATTATGACATTCGTATCCCCAACGATTACACTATATAAAAAAAAAAATTAAGGGTGATTAAGACTAATCATCTCAAAACACGATTAGCCTTATATACCCCTAGCAATTAAGAACAAAAAATTTCGAAATTGAGGGTGTTTAGGACATTATTATAGAGATCAACACACGATTAGACTTATATACCCCTAATTACGAAGAAGGAGAAATTTCGAGAAGAACAATTCATTAAGGGTGTTTAGGACAAATCATTCTAACTTTTAACCACAGGCCTCCAATGCCCTAACTTTCAATATGGTGCGTTTCTACTTCTCAAATAATTATTGTAGAGATATCTTGAATAAAAGATTTCGTAAATCATAATGGAAATTATTTGTTGGTTATCAAAAATATTATTTAATATTATTTAGAAAAAATTAGGAAATTTTAAGAAAAAATCTTTTATTTTCAACAATTTATAGTTATATTTAATAAAAAATGACAGAGAATGTAATCGAAGTTTATCATTAAGAATTGGGAAATTAACTGGTAAATTTTTTTTGTAAATCTTTATTTGATCTTTTTTGCAACAATCACATTAGAACGAGCAGGAGAAGGGTTTTGTAAGGAGAAACTATTTCCGATCTTCGTTTTCTTAAAAAATATTTTATATTATTTTCAGGTTGATGAATGATTTTTCTATCTCCTTGAGAGAATGATGTGAACTTTAAGGTTTTCTTGGGTTTTAAATTGTACCTTAAAGCTTTGACCTTTAGCTTGTATACTGTCTTGAACTCTTGTCTTTTTATTTTTCATGTTTCAGGTACCACTAGGGATGGGGTCTGTCTCTATGGCTTCAATGGATTGTCTTCCAGATGATCTTCTTGTCCAAATCTTGTCCTTTCTACCCACGAAACAAGCCGTGTCAACCTCTCTTCTCTCCAAGAGGTGGAGGACTCTGTTTACTTTTAACTCATATTCATGAGGTTGACAACTTCATCTTTTTGCACAGCAAACGGAAGAGTTTCATGGCTTTCATGGATAGAACATTGGCTTTGCAAGGCTGTAACCATATAAAGAAGTTGTCACTTAATCTTAGAGTAACATGTGGAGATACACATGACATGGACCACTGGATATGTAGTTCTCTGAAACGTGGCGTCTCTGAGCTTCATCTAGCCATAGAATCTATGTGGCTGTTTGCTATCCCATCCAAAGTCTTCACCAGCACAACACTCGTTAAGCTGTCATTGGGAACACGTTTTTGCTTCCAGAGTGTTCCTTCGGATACATATCTTCCAGCACTAAAGGTTCTCTTCCTTGATTCAATTTGGTTTGACTTTCATCAATTCGCTAATGTGTTTCTCCCTCCTTGCCCTCTACTTGAGGACCTTGACATACATATCAAGTCTCATTCAAGAGGAAAGCCAGTCATTATATCCAGCAAAACCATTAAGAGACTCTTATTTACCTATAACCATGGTTATTATGACATTATTTCACTTAACACACCAAATGTTGTCGACCTCTACTACTGTAGTTATGCTAGGCATGAGTCTCTTCATTGTAATCTGGGTTCACTTGTCAAAGCTACACTAGACCTTCAAATCTTAGAACATGATGAGGACGCGGATGTGACGAATCTCCTCAGTGGGATAAGCAATGTCAAGACCCTTCACTTGACTTCTTCTGCTGTCAAGGTCAGTTTTAGTGTATGGTCTCATCATCTGTTGGTTTGAAAAAGGAACACATTTTTTTGTGTGTGTGTGTATTTCAGGTGATTTCGGTACACTGCAAAGGTGGATTACCGGTGTTCAACAACCTCGTTTATTTAAAGTTTTCAAGTAAAAAGCAAGGATGGAAAGAACTTCTGCCACTTCTGCTAAAGCGTTCTCCAAACCTGAAAACTCTGGTTCTTTCGGTATGAAGCAAACATTGAACAAAAACTTTACTTTATATGTATGCATGAATATAAAAATAGTATTGATCTTCTTTATGCTTCAGGATTTAGATTGTTACACATTTAGAGAACATCCGTTTGTGGGGATTCGAATTCCCCCAAATAACCAAGTAAAGATGTTATGTGTCATGCGGTACAGAGGAAGTGAAAACGAGCTTGAACACGTTAGCCATTTCTTACTGAAAATGGAGTGTCTTGAAGTTTTGAAAGTTTACATTGCACCTACAATGGATGACACCAAAAAGGTGCAACTCACAGAGGAACTGTTGAAGCTTCCCACAGCCTCATCCAAGTTCATTATACAAGTCATGTGATCATCATCATCCATAAGTTATTATGTTTCTTCTAAAATCAAATAGTAAGGTTTCTTGTTTTAGTGATTTATGATTTTTTTTATTTGGCGAAGCGTAAAAACGAGAAAAACAACTTATTAGTTACCATTTTAAGTGATTTCTGAGCTATATTGCTCCATAATCTATGGCTTCTTAAACTTGGGTTTCTCTGAACTTTGAGCCCTTAAAAAACAGGGAAAAACAAATAAGGATGAAAATTAACCGCTTAGAATGTGCTAAGAATCAAAGTTCTGTCTGACATTCAATGAACATAATGATTCCTATTACCTAAACCCAAAAACCTTTGCACTTCCCCAAGAGGCAAGACCACATGAGTTTGACATTAATCATCTTTGAATGATGTTTACCAAATTGTATCAGCTTTCTTGTCCTTTTTAGTTTGTATTGGCTGAGGCTCGTCAAGATTTTGTTGATGTGGTCTTCGGTCTCCTGACTCCCCCAAAGGGGACTATTGCTAGAGATGCATCACAAGTTACCTCAAGTCCTAAGTTGCTATAAGAATCTTAACAAAAGTGTTGCAGATTTGGCCATTGATGATTTCGAAACATAGGCTTTCTATAGTATGTTGATGTATCCGGATATGCCTTTTAAGAATTGGCGTGTCCTGTTGGTTTAAAGGTCACAAATTCAGTTAAGAGTTTCTTTTTTTTTTCTCAGTTGCAAAATCAAACCAATTATACAGAGAAATAGGCCCAAGCTGTTATGGCCAATAAAGCGCTAAGACTAGCCAAATAAAGACAGAGGGTAGTGAGAGTTGTCACTACAGGCTATTCACTACAATAGAACATTTAAGCTCGTGCTCTTTTGTTGCTGCATGAAGGGCACTTGTATTGTTTGATATGCTCAGCTCTAGCTGGAGTGATCTTCACACACTTGCCATGGAACCACTTCTCACAAAGGTCACAGCAGATCCAGAATTCATCAGCACCATCACTGTCTCCACAGGCTCCACAAAGGGTTTCGCCGTGGTCATCCTCATCATCTTCATCTATTCCTTCGTCCTCCTCTTTTGGCTGCATGGTCTTTGAGC